TACTATAAAAATAGTGCCTGTATTGCTGCATTATTCTTATACCAAGGGCCCAATCCTGCCATGCAATGAGTTTCCTAAACTCCCATTGCTTCACTGTAAATTTTGATCATCCCACACCCCCTAGAATGAGCCACAATATTTAGTGTAAGCAACAACTTTTCTTTTCTTTCTCTAATCATCAACAGCAAGATTAGGTGAAATGAAATTAATTAAAACTCAGTGAAATATTAATACTCTAAAATTTCATTGCATTTTATTATCTATCTATATATGCATAACCTAAATATTTAATTATAACCATAAAACTGACACAATTGTGTTTTATATATATATGCGAACATATCCTTCCGACTATGTTAAATAAAGAATCCATTCAGTTTCACGTGTCCCCAAAGACAATTTGATCATTAATCCATGGAGGTTTTAGAAGAAGGATTTTCCAAGACAGATAAATTGAAATGATCCTGCTTTGATCTCTGTGGTTAAGAATTAGTTACAATGGAAGATGAACAACAAGGGGCAAAGCTACTGGCCTTTTTATGGGTAACAAAGGTATCAGCAAACAACTACTTAATCAATATTTGGCCAGAGACACTGAAAACTTCCTTTTCAGATTTTAATTCCTAGTTGTAAAACAACTGTAGAGCAACCAGGGAGATAAGACATTAAAAGTAACTGCTTAATTGCCTTTTACTGTTGTATTAGTTATATATGTACATTCTTAATAGTTCTTGAATCTTTGTTTACCAGAATAAATAAATGATTTCTCAGAGACTCCATCGAAATTCAACTAAATAAATATTCGTAGCCCGTTACACAGTTTAACTGTAATATATCCACATTTCATTATGTCTCACTTTTTCTCTAGTACTGTAATGCAATTTTAAAAGAATTAGTTTAACAGCATGGGGCAGCAATTCTTAAGGGAAGATGAAGAAAAATTATCCAACATACTACACTAAACAAAGTCTTATGGTGAAGTATGTTACTGTACATCACTTTTATTACCAAGAGATCCCTGCATTTTGGGAACTCTTGGAAGTATACTAAACTTTTTTTATTCATTTTGTTCTCTCTCCCCACACATGTTTGTTACATAGCATTGAAAGTGACATTTATGTGGATAAATTCACACTGACTACACTAGTCTGATTTATTATGTTCTGTTTCACTCAATTTCTTCCTAAATTAACCAGAGAGCACTTTGTAGTTCTGCTTCATTTCCCAATATAGTTTTATTACTTAGCCCTGGGGACTCTTAATAATCTATTAGGATCAACTTTTATGTTTTCTGCCCCTCCAATCACATATTCCCACTCTTATCAATGAATACAAAACTAAACTTTCCTGCCACAAATATTAGATAAATTCACTTGTATCAATTGAATACAATAGAAATTGCCATTTAAAATCACCCCAAATCACCCCAAAAATTCTAAGGTTTTCATCAGTTTAGGTTTGTTTGGTTTGGTTTGGTTTGGTTTTTTTTGTAAATTTGAATTTATATCTGATTAAACTTAAAAAATCTTATTGTCTTTGGCTAACACTGTGCTGATGCTGATCCAGAAAGCCTTAGGTTCAGAGAGAACTCTGCCTGAGTAATGTGTTCAGAATTAGACCCCCGTTATCATTTAGCCCTCAACAGAACAAAAAAAAATCAAGGTCTCAGTTCTCCAAACGGTAACCCACATAAGTAACTTTATTCACATGAGTAGGCCCTTTGAATTGGACTTCTAGTTACTCATATAGGATAGCATTTTCAGGATCAGGGTGCTAGGGCTCAGTCTTGCAAATATTTATTATGTCCTGAGCCTGAGGACTTCACAGACAGCTGAGAGCTCAGGACCTTAGAAAATTGGGTTCAGAAGAAGCCCAATCCTCACGGAGGCAAAACTCCTATTAAAGTCAAAGATTCTGAAAGCAATACCTACATGGTTTTTGCCAACAAGACAGAGTAAGAATGTTATGAGCAAAATCCTGGCCACACTGAAATCACTGGGAATTAAGCCATGGAGGTCAACTATTCCAGACTGTCACCCCATCAGCCTAGTCAAATATGGATTTGGAAGTATAGAGTAATCAGAGCAGATACCATCTTTAATAGTTTCCTTGGATGAATTGAAAAGTCAGAATTTGACATAATAAATTGAATCTGTGATCTGATGTTTGCTAAGGGAAGGTTTGACTTCTTTTACATGTATTAACTGAGAATCGTTAGGACCAGGCCCTTTTCAATTAAGGAGATTATTTTTTCAGAGTGCAAAACAAAATAGTTAATCTAATGTTAGGCTATACTAGAGAGCATACAGTGGCAAAGCTGTACTGCTATAATTTCTCCCATGTAGTCACTGTATGATGACAATGAGAGAGAGCTCCACACCAGTGCTTCTGTCAGTGTAACTTATGTTACTCAGAGGGGTGGTTTTTTCCACATCTCTGAGCAATACCAATAAAAGTGCAAGTGTAAACAGAGCCTTGGTTTTAAAAAAGGAGGTGTCTTTCCTTTGTAGGTATCAGAGGTTCTATTGATAATGGAATCCTTTCCCCTCTTCTTTTGGGTATTAATAGCGTTGTTGTTTACATGGCACTATCGGTGTGCAATCAGTAAAACACCTGTCATGGTCTGAAAATGTTTTGTGCCTTATTCCACCATCACGATAGTAATTTAAGGGCCTGACACTGAAGTCAATGGGAGTCGGGGGTGCTCAACACCACTCTGGAAATGCTTGTCAACATCTTGGATAAGAATCCAGCCTAATTACACAAGTTTAACTCTTAGAGATACTAGTGATAACATATTTAAAAACGCTTTTAAGACATTCTAGATTCATTAAACTATTTAGTCTCAGTCACAGAGTCATCACACTTAATTTCATACCTGACTTTTTTACTAAAACAATTTGGAACAAATACACTTATTATAGCTCTGTAAGACAAAAGTTGTGGTCTTACAAGCATTTGTATTGCTTTCAGTAGAACAAATTCAACGTGTCATTTGTTTTAGAAAAAAATATGGTTTGGTGGCAGACATACACAGAACATATATAGTTCTTTTAAGCTGTAGATCACAAACTGTTTTACAAAAGTGGTTAAGTTATACTTAGGTCTCTAGACAAAATTCACCAGAAAGAAATGGTATGCCCCAGGTCACAGAGCCATGAATAGAAACTAGTCTGCTTCTTTCCAGTCCCATGCTCTAACCACTGGACCAACACTGACACCACAATGAAGAAATAAATGGAGATACACAAATTGATATTTACTTCCTGTACATAAACACTCTTCTTTGGGAATTAATCATATTAATTTAATACACTAAAAATATCCTCCTGGAGGTTATCTAGTAACCAAAATTAATCCATCTAGTGGCCCATCTAGCCTATGCTACCCTTTAGATCATGTGTAACCACTTCAAAGCTCATGCATCAAGTCAGTAATTGTAACATTGCATCTAAATATTTAAGCTAGAGGCTGGCAGTCGCGTGTCCCATTTACAGTCAGCATCTGTCCTCTAATTCCATTACAGTACAAAGCAAAAATGTTTCCCAAAACTCACAAACAGGAAAAGCATCATACGGCTTTAGAAGCGGCAACAGCTTCAGCTTTCTATTTACTGAGTGGTGCTTTTGTGTTAAGATCTTTCTTTTCTTTAAACTTTCCCCACAAAAATAGGGGTGGTGGCAGAAATTGCACTAATGTGAGCCTCGGGCCAAAAAGGAAAAAAAAAAGAAAAAAGTGGGGGGAGGGTTTGATCCAAGATGAAAGTAAGAAGGAAATAAAGGAGGCAATTTAGTCTGCTGCAGTCTGAATTGCTTAATCAGAGAAGCCAAGGGTAGAGGGTGGAGATGACTAGAGCTCTGTGGAATAGTGCGCATGACTGGGGAAGAATCCATTGTGACTATGCCTGGGGGCCAATTCCATTGGGTAGGAGAACAGAGGGTCCCATTTAAGCACTAAGCAGACTGTGTCACCCAGTGCAACAGCAGCAACCGTGTCTCCAAACCAGTGCAACCCTGTTCCTGATCCAGCACTGAGAAGGGCCAAGAAAAGAACTCTGTGTTGCTGCACCCGTCATTTGATCTTTAAAAACCACCTTTCACTCAGAAAACAACAGCCATTTTACAAGTAGCCAACACAGCCTACCACATATATACATAAAGGTACATGCAACTCCCTCTTACAAATCAGTTTTTCAAAAAATATGATATATAAAAGGCACATCATAGTTTCTCTTCAAATCTCTTTATTCATGGACTATACCTTTATTAGAAGTATATAACATGCAAATAATATATAACATCTGTGCCATCAATATCTATCCCAATCTACATTTCTATAATTATAGATATCTCTAAATATAATATATTTAGAGATATATTATATCTGAAAGCTTGGAGGGTCTTAAGGCCTCCTTCCCTCAAATTTAGGGATCTCTTTAATACATAAAATGAGCACTATAATAGAATGTCATTTATCTCACTTTACATAAAGTAGACAAATTTACAAAACCACTGATTAAAGATGATTTCAACAATATGTATTTTTAATTCTAGTCCTCCCCCCCCAATAAAAGGTTGTCTATGCCTTTGTATATTTAGAGAAAGATATAGCTATAACAATCATAGGACTGGAAGGACCCTCAAGAGGTCATCTAGACCAGTCCCTGCAATACTGACAGAACTAAGTATTAATGTAGGTGTGGGTGGATGCACAAGAGTGTGAAAATCAAAGTATCTATAATCAAAATAGAAATACAAACAGATATAGATATGATAGTGTTCTATAGCAGTGTTTCTCAACCAGTGGTATGAGTACCCTTAGCGGTACTCTAGAGAAGTCTGGGAGATATGTCAACAAATTTGAAAATTGGAGAAATTTGGAGAAAACTGAATTTTTGTTTTAAGTTTTACAGAGCTTTATTATTTTTGTACTTTTTATTCCCAAAAATTTCATCACCCACCCGGCAATGAGTAAGTTGTTTAAACAAATGAGTTGCAATGTCAAAATAATGTGTGTGTCTGAAAACTGTAAGTACTGGGGGTACTTATAATTTATTTTAAAATGGGGTACTTTATAAAAAAAAGATTGATAAACACTGTCCTATAGTACAGATTTGTTTATATTACAATTATGTATGTGGTATTTATATCTATGTGATAAGTTGCCAAGTCATATGATACATTATATTTATTTATCAAGCAATTTTACCCATTTTATCTGCATTCTTCCCCTTGTTCAGGACTCCTTCTAACATCAGAAATCTCTGAGCAACTTTTAAACAGCTGCCATCAAAACTAAAATGTTGCTTGTTTCCTTCTTTCTTTCCTTCAAATGAGGAATTTCCCTCCTCCCCAACTCATACAAGACTGAGGGTGCAAAATTAGCAATTTTCAGTCCTCGATCAGAGATGAGCTAAAAGTCTGATGCCTTCTAATTTTACAGAGTTCTGGCACTGAAAAAAGGGAGATTGCTAGCTCTCCAGAGGGATGCATCATTTTGTTTGCAGCTCTATTATAGATAATTCTAAACATTTCTGGAGTTTATTATTTAAATGTTTCTCTCTCTGAATCCTGCACTTCTGGTATTAAGGGAACCTGGTTCTGTAAGCAGGGGCTATGAAAAATAGTAATGGCATTGTAGAAAACTCTTCAGAACTTTCTTAAAAGAGGTCCCTCCCCTACAAAATATGTACCTCGGCTATACAGAATATATGATGGTGTGCAGTGGTAAGCTTTGACTGCCACTTGTTTGTGACAACTAACGTTCCCTGTAAGTTATGCACTTGGATGGGCATCCATAAAAGATTCAGTAACTGTCCAACTGATTAGCAGAGTGCCCACGGTTGCCCACAGGCAGCAGCATGTGTTTCTATTAGTGGTGCACATCCACATATGTCTTGGTGCACATAACATTTATTTGACACATGGACAGAAAAAGTTAGAAGGAACATTTGTGAAACCCCATATAAATCACATGTGGCTTTACCATTTGTGAGCAACAAACTAGTCCCTAACTCAGGACAATAAAACTTGTAGCCTATATCACTATATACACTCTATCTAGACCTCTGTTATCAGGCCAATCCTGGTTTCGTGACTCACTTTCCTGGCTTCCTCAGACTTAAGTCAGTGGGACACCTGCAAGCATGACCCTGCACCACTGACATTACTGGGAGCTGTATGAATTGCTTTAATGGGAGCAAAATCAGACCTTGTGTGAATAAAAAGAGCAGGATTTGATGATGCTTTTAACCTTAAATACAGACACTGGGTGAAATCATGACCACACCCCCGCCAATGTCAATGAGTTTTGAAGCTGAACCTTTATGATTGGCCATATATGTGAAAGAGCAGTGCATTTTAAATTGAATTCTCCAGAATTTCTGTCTCTAATATCCGGCCAACATTAATAATTTTGTTAACAAAATCTCTTCTTGATCACCCTCTTTCCAGCATCTCTGCCACTCCTATAAAAATAATAAGTGGCCAATGGAAACACGGGAACAGGAGAGTGTGACTTATTGTAATGAAGAGTTTCCATTCTATGTGATGAAAATCAATTCTCACCAGGAACTTCTAAGAAATACATTTTTAAAGGCCCTTCTCCTGCAAAATGTTGTGTGGCTTTGACTTCCAGTGAAGCCACTGTACCCAGTTCTGCACCATTTAAATTAGCATGAGTTTTGCCATTTGCTTAATTGGTAGTAGGCACTATGGGTCATTAATTTTAAAGGAAGCTTAAAGGAGTACAGAGTTCAACACCTTTAAAGAGGTAAGCAGCACCCTGTCAGGATCAAGCCTTTCTACCCAAATAATCTAAGATAACTTCGTTTTAAACTACCAGTATTAAATATTGACATTAAGGACAACCGTATTAGCAATGGGGATTTAGTTTCCCAAAAGATCTCTTCAGGTTGTTAGTATCCCTGACTCTGAAGTGTCACTAAAACTTTGGCCCATGCCAACACTGAGGCTAAAGCAGAAAGTGAAAGAGCACCAAGAGAATTTTAAGTTGGAGATGAGTTGTGGGGTTTTATTTTTTAATCAGATAATGATGTCCATCCAGATAACAGTTGTTGTGGACTGGATCAAGGGGATAATCTAGAATATCAGCGCTTAGCAAGTTAAAATAAATTCTCTGGACATATTTGTCAGATTTTTGGGGTGCTTCCATTTTTTAATGCCCAACTTGAGCCATACTGAAGTTTTCAAAAGTGCTTGTCACTTTCTGAAAAGTAGGCTTGTTTAAAGTGTCTCAAGCTGAGTACTCAAAAACCCGCCACCCAAAATAACCAGTTGTTTTTCAAAATCATAGTAACTGGTTTTAGCCATTGCTTGTCCAGTTCGTGCCTGAAGGTATTACTGGGTAAAATTCAGCAGCTTCTACTATAAAGAAAGTCAGAATAGATTATCAGAATGGTCCCTTCTGGCCTTAAAAAATATATATACGAATCCTCCAGTATTTTCCTGTATGTATGTACACACAGACAGAGAGAAGATGAAGCTTCCCTGAGAGCCCTAGTAACTCGGAATGAGAGTCCTAGTTTAAGGGGGTTTTGTTTTGTTTTTACAATACAGAGGGATACTATAGTTTTAAAGAATGGCAGTTGTCCTTCTTGAATGGCAGTCGGCATCTCTAGATGTCTAGAAAGGCTAGAAACATTTTGTAGGTGAAAATAGCCACTTTTTCCACGGTGGAGAGTCCATAAAACTGCTCAGCTATTGGGGCTCATTGAATAATTCATCCCTCATTGCAAGACCATAATGTCCTTTCTCGGCCTTTTGTGGGGCTGTTTTCTCTTCTTTTCTCCTTGAATTATAAAAAGGTTGCCTTCTTTTGTTCACATCAAGCTGCTGCTAGCTGAAGCTTTGTCTGTGCAAAGCTAAAGTGTGAGTTTCAATGGACTCTCCCTTCTTTGTTTTCCAAGTTCATCTCCAAGTGTAGATTGTGTATAGAAGGCCTTCTTTGTAAAAGCTGGAAAAGTTGTACAAATGTTTGACCAGCTCATTTGGTACTTTTGTCTCCTCTTCTTCAGTGCCTATGTATGTGCAGGACAAGCTCTGCAAGAGGAGTGTTAGGACCTTCTAGCAACAAGTCTCACAGCACTGGCAACTGCCTCTCTCTACCGAGTCCAGGCCTGGAAAACTAGGCACAACAACAACAACCTGCAGAGAACTCTTACTGTTTCCCTCTTTCTTGCTTAGGTTTCCAATTCATTGCGTGTACTTCTCAGCAGCACCCAACACGGGCTTTCCACGGGGCAAAACAAGCTTAGGCTTCAAATACATGCAAACCTCAAGCCACTGAACTGAGTTTCTAACTTTTTAGCTAAAATTTCTATTTAATTTTAGACTTCGTGTTTGTTTACTGAGGTTTATTTTTAAGAAGACTCTTTTCTTTCCCCTAACGCCTAGCTCCCAAGAACCTGAGCTATTTCAAATGATTCACACAGCGACAGCTACAACTGGGCACCACGTAGCACTGCCCCAGAAGGACACTGGGAATGACAGGAACTGTCGGTTTTATGGCCGCGGGGTCCCATCCTGCAATGTGTGTTCAAGCAAACACTCTCACTTGAAGCCAATGAGCCTGGACAAAGGTGAGAGACTCGTTCTCCTTCGAAAGGCGCTTTGAATTGGGACGATCGTAGGGGAAGCAGGGGGAGGGTGCGGGCTGCCTCCCGAGCGATCCCCCCGATCCACGTGCTCTTCCACCCCACCCCCGCAGCGAGCCGCGCCGCGCGGACGAAACGC